CATGGGGGAAACGCCTGCGGACGCTGCCACGGGGGCCTTCGGTGGGGCTCCCTGTAGGACCACGAAATGTTGTACTGGGCGGAGGGGGTGCTTGCGGACGGTACCACGGGGGCCTTCGGTGGACCTTACTATTGGGCCACGAAACGTTGTACTGGGTTGGGGAAACGCACGAGGACAGTGCCACGGTGGCCTTCGGTGGACCTCACGGTTGGACCACGAAACGCTGTTCTGGGTGGGGGAGGCGCATGCGGACGGCGCTGGTGAAGCCGTCGGTGGAGCTCCTTTTGGGGCCACGAAGCGGTATAAGGGTGGGGGAGACGCATGCGGAAAATGCCACGGGGGCCTTCGGTGGGGCGCCCTGTGGGCCACGAAACGCTGCACTGGAGACGCATGCGGACGGCGCCAAAGTGGCGTTCGGTGGAGCTCCCATGAGGCCGCGAAACGCTGTACTGGGTGGGGGAGACGCATGCGGACGGCGCCAGTGGGGCAGTCGGTGAAGCGACCTATGGGACCACGACGCGCTGTACTGGCTGGCGGAGACGAATGCGCACGGTGCCACGGGGGCATTCGGTCGGGCTCCATGTTGCACCACGATGCGCTGTACTGGGTGGGGAAAACGCATGCGGACGGTGCCACCGGGGCCGTCGATGGAGTTCCCTATGTGCCACGGAACGTTGTACTGGGCGGGGGAGACGCATGCGAACTTTACCACTGGGGCCCTCGGTGGAGTTCCCTATGGGCCACGAAGCGCTGTACTGGGCGCAGGAGGCACATGCGACCTTGACCACTGGGGCCTTCGGTGGAGCTCCGTGGGCAATGAAGCGTTGTACTGGGCGGGGGGGGCGCCTGCGAACTTTGCTACTGTGGCCTTCGGTGGGGTCCTATGGGCCACGAAGCGCAAATCTGAGCGGAGAGGACGCATGCGGACTTTGCCGGTGCGACTGAGGCCTTCAATGGGGCTCCATATGAGGCCACGCCGCGCTGTACTGGGTGGGGGGAACGCATGCGGACGGTGCGGCTGGGGCTTTCGGTGGGGTTCCATGTGGGGCCACGAAACGTACACTGCATGGGGGGAACGCATGCGAACGGTGCCACTGGGGCTGCCGGTGGAGCTCCCTCTGGGGGCAAAAAACATCATAGTGGGTGGAGGAGACGCATGCGGACGGTGCGACTGAGAGTTTCGGTGGGGCTCCCTGTGGGGCCACGAGGCGCTGTACTGGGTAGGGGAAACGCATGCGAACGGTGCCTCCGGGGCCTTCGCTGAAGGTCCCTATGGGTCACGAAATATTGCACTGGATGGGGGGGACACATGCAGCCTTCCGTGGAGCTCCCTATGGGGGCACGAAGCGCTGCATTGGGTGGGAGGGAGACGCATTCGGACGGTGCCACTGGGATTTTTGGTGGGGCGCCCTTGTGGGCCACGAACCGCTGTACTGGCTTGGGTGAGACGCATGCGCACGGTGCCACGGGGACCTTCGGTGGAGCTCCATATGAGGCCACGAAACGCTGTACAGGGTGGGGGAGACGCATGTGGACGGTGCAAACTGAGGCCTTCGGTGGAGTTCCCTATGGGGCCACGAAGCGCTGTTCTGCGTAGTGGAGACGCATGCGGACCGTGCCGCTGGAGAGTTCGGTGGAGCTTCCTATGGGGCCACGAAGCGCTGTACTGGGTGGGGGAGACGCATGCGGACGGTGCCACCAGGGCCGTCGGTGGAGTTCCCTATGGGGCTACGCAGCGCTGTACTGGCCGGGGGAGACGCATGCGGACGGCGCCAGTGAGGCCGTCAGTGGAGCTCCCTACGGGGCCACGAAGCGCTGTACTGGGTGGGGGGAGAGAAATGCAGACGGTGCCACTGGTGCCTCCAGTGGATCTCCCTGGGGGGCCGCGAAATGTGTGAGGAGCGTGCCGAAATGGACGCGGTGGTGCCATGCGAACGCAGCCTTTTGGGCCGTCCAATGATGATGATGATGATGATGATGATGATGATGATGATGATGATGATGATGATGATGATGATGATGATGACGACGACGACGACGACGACGACGACGACGACAACGACGACGCCGACGACGACGACGACGACGACGAGGATGATGATGATGATGATGATGATGATGATGGTGATGATGTTGATGATGACGATGGTGATGGTGACGATGGTGATGATGATGGAGATGATGATGGTAATGATGGTGATGGTGATGATGATGATGATGATGATGATGATTATGATGATGATGATGATGGTGAGCCTGATGAGTCTGATGATGATGCTGATTATGATGCTGATTATGATGCTGATTATGATGCTAGTGCTGATGATGGTGATGATGATGAAGGCGATAATGTTGCTACTGATGGTGATGATGATGATGAGAATGATAGTGGCAGTGTTGATGATGATGTTGATAATTATGGTACCTATTATGATGATGATAATGGTGATAATGGTGGCGATTATGATGACGATGATGACGGTGATGATGATAATGACGAAGACGACGATGATGATGATGATGGAATGATAGCGTTGATGATGATGATGATGATGACCGTGACGATGACGACGTTGTTGATGTTGGTCATGTTGCTGATGGTGGTGGTGGTGATGGTGATGGTGAGGGTGATGGTGATGATGATGATGATGATGATGGCGATGATGAGGAGGGTGCTGATAATGATGATGATGATGATGATGATGATGCTGCTGCTGCTGATGATGATGATGATGGCGATGATGAGGAGGGTGATGATGCGGATGATGATGATAACGGCGACGATGACGATGACGATGAGGAAGTGCGGAGTGCGGAGGGCAGGGGCAGGGATAGGATGAGGGAGGAGCGGGAGGACTTCGTTTTTTCAATCGCTGAATGTTGCCGCGTTACCCCTGGGGGGCAGCGACCACAGAGGCGCAACTCCACATCGTTCGGCTGGAGGTTTCAACGAACGAAAGACATTGCGCACGCGCACAAGGCGAGGGCCAGCCCCTCCATTGGCAGGGAAGGTACGTTCCCGACCCGACCGACCTCCCACCCGCCACACACACATACGCACACACACACACACACATACGCACACACGCACACACACACACACACACACACACACACACACACACACACACACACACACGCACGCGCGCACGTACGCGCACGCACGCACGCACGCACGCACGCACGCACGCACGCACGCATGCACGCACGCACGCACGCACAGACTGTCCTGAGCCCGCCTCGCAGCGGCAGGCGACGGACTCGATCATGTGACCTTCAGCCTCCGAGCGCGCTGACGCCTGCGCGAGGACACAACGAGGCTGCAGGGGCTCGGTGCCGAGATCAGTCGGGCATCCGACTGACACCTGCGGGCGTTTGGGGCGTTCGCCCTTACATATCGCCAGCCACGCCCACTGACCGAACCGAAACGGAGACGACTGGCAGCGGGAATGCAGAGCGGCGGTCGCGAGCTGCACGACTTGCAGGACAAACAAATCACGAGCATAGCCCCGCCACCGCAAGGCACTACGATGCGAAGGTGGCCCAGGCCCTGGAGCCCAAGGACAGCCGCGCCCAGGGATCCAGGACGCTCAGTGGGGGGGGGGACTCCTCGGCAAGCCCAGACGGCTGACATGCCAGCAGACTGAGCAGCGCCAGAAATTGCCCACAGACGCCCAAGCACGCGGCGAGGTAGGCTCGGGAGTCTTGGAGGCCCGGGGAGGCCGAACGTATTCGACGGCACCGAACTCTCGGAGCGGCTCCCAAATAAACAGCAGAGGCATGCTGAGAAGACAGAAAGCACGAACGCACACTAACTCCTCTGCGAGCTCTGCCGACAATGCCTCTTCAGGCCGCGCTTGGGAAGACAGCGCACGTGTAGCTGCGTCCGCAGCGTCAGTGCCGTCAGAACCCATCGGCGGGGCGACCGGGGCCGAGCCCTGGAAGGACTGAGCTGGATCGAGTCGCATCAAAGGGTCGGATCGGGAACGGATCGGATCGCCAAGAAACTCGAGTCGAAGCCACGGCCGATGCTGGCGAATAGAACGGGATCGACTCGAATCGGATGCGCGAGCCTAGCCAGCGAAGCGAATCGGATCGTCCAAGGCCACGCTAACGGCGATGTTGCTTAATGGTGATGTTAGGAACCAACTTGTAGGAAATCACGATCCACCCTGTCCTGCATTTCCAATCTGCAGAGGCATCGAACGAAAACGGCACAGCAAATGGTAGGAAAGCACGAGCCGCGCGTTCCCACGATACCAGAACCTACATCGCCGCTACCCACATCGCCGTCAGCGCGTCTACGGATCGTAGGCGGCCCTGCCTGGGCGGTGGCGCGCCCGGGCGTCACCCAGCACCAGTCCGAC